AGATGACGTTTTCTAGTAGAACTGAGATGATAGTTTACATATACTATGAATTAAGGCGGATTCACCGTTCGTGTCCAGACAACCTTTTTTTGCTCTTAAAACTTTTTTGTCGGAGAGGGTGGTGAAGCATGGTTCACCATTCAGTTTGGCACATTATATTTGGTTATGAAGCAAACAGCTGATGATATTGTCGCCTATGTACGAAACTATGATTACGAGAGGGAATAATACATGCAGTTCGCTGCAAAAGTCATAAAAAAGATAAAGCGGCAACCACAATCACCAAGTTGTTCGGACCAAAAATCAAAATGAATTTCATTCGATCAAAGAGTGTTCAGCACATTTCTGTCGCTCTCTCAGTGAGACAGAGCGGGAAAAGAACGTATAAAATTACGAACAAAAAGTTTCCGGACATGAACGGAGAATCCGCCTTTACCCTTCTTCCCAACCGTCGCACAGTGGGACGTCCCAATATAAGCTGAAATTTCGTTTAAGTTCATATTACTCCCTTTCAAAAATTACAAAACGAAAAAATTTACAAAAATTACGAAACGAAAAATGTTTGTTTAAATTTGCGCATATTAAGAGAGGTAACCAGTTCGCACTCTTAGTGAATGCAAATTTACACACCGTGTTAATTAAATTAAATTCATCTTGTTTACTTTTACTTACTATATGTGTGACGTAGAACAAATTTCAATGTTGGATGAATTCTGAACACACAATGATCACATTCCATAGTTTACACATACAATTTTTAAAATTCTGTAAATTTGAACACTTAATGATTATTATTAGTTGGAAATGTATTTTTGCTTTAAAAATTTGTGCAAAATTAAACATATCATGTGTATATTTATGTATTATATTTTAAACATCTCATGTTCAAAATCAAATCTTGAACACCTTATGTGTATATTTACACAGATTCTGGTTGAAAAATAGACACTTTTCAGTAAATAGTACACTCTAAAAAATGTTTGTTTAAATTTGCGCATATTAGGATAGGTAACCAGTTTCCTCTCTTAATGAATGCAAATTTACACACTGCTTGCTTACTTTTACTTATCATATGCGTGGCGTAGAACAAATTTCAAATTTGTTTTTTGAGTTTTAAACATTTATTGTTCACATCTTCACAGTTTACACATAAAATGTTTAAAATTTCCTCTAAAAAATTTTCGTTTAAATTTACGCATATAAAGAGAGGTAACCAGTTTCCTCACCTAGTGTGTGCAAAATTTAACACTGTCTGTTTACTTTTACATATCAAATTTATCACGTAGCGCACACAAGGGGTGGGTTTTGGGGTTAAATTTATTATGATTTAAGAAATTTTGATAGAAAAAAATTTCTTTCCATTTCTTGTGCGTCATTTTGTAAGAATTTTTCTTTTTTCTTGAGACTTCAATTCTCGTATACAAATTTAGGAGTACCGTTCATTTTTTTATGATTTAATGATCGGATCTAAACCAAATTATGGGACGATCCTTAAGGTACCATCTATCCGGAATAATAAAAGAATAAATAAAAGAAGTAAAAATACTCCGAAGAATTGATAACCTTCCCTTTTTTGAAGCCGGTTGAAAATGTCTGAGTTTTTTGTAAATTTTATGTAAATAAAATGCAATTTATAAAACTTTATTTATTTATTTCATACTGTACATAAAACGTGCATAAATGTATTTTAAAGAGCGAATTTTCAGTATTTTCTGATGATATATATTTAGAAGTATAAATCCTTTCCCCCCAAAAATATATTCCTGCGTGCGCCGCTGGCACTTAGTATTTATTATTTGTAAAAAAATTTATTTTTACTTTCAAAATGTTTGTAATTTTAAACATTACATGTGTATATTTATGTGTAAATTTTAAACAACTCATGTTCAAAATCAAATCTTGAACATCTTGTGCGTATACTTGAACAGATTCTGGTTGAAAAATACAGACTTTTCAGTAGTAGGTTTACATGCAGTTTTTAGAGTGTAGTTTTACATGCACTTTCTAGAGTGTACAAGAAAAGCCAAGCTAAGGCAAGCGGGACTTTTGGCATCGAAATCGGATCTCGTCCAGAGAGGCGTGCATTTTTGGCAGAATGCTGCATCTGATTAACAGATTCGCGAGTCATTAATATCTACACCTTCTCCCATTTCCATTTTATATTGCATATTATTTATGTATATACATATCAGGGTCTTTCCTTCAGCTATACAATAAAAATTTAATAAATTATACAGGAGGTTTGTCTATAACAAGTAATTTTTAGCAAAAAAAAAACCGACTNCAAAAAAAAAACACTTCAACTCTTATATAAAAAAAACTTTATATATATATCATGATCCACTGATCGGATCTTAACCAGATTAGTATGGGACCACCTCTGAGACACTACTTTTCCGATGAATTATCGAANAAAAAAAAAAAAAAAAAAAAAAAAAAGATTCCGACGAACTGATAACCTCCACCTTTTTTGGAAGTCGGTTTTGCATCGGAAAGGTAGTGTCCCATACTAATCTGGTTAAGATCCGATCAGTGGATCATGAGATATATATAAAGTTTTTTTTATATAAGAGTTGAAGTGTTTTTTTTTTGATAAAAATTACTTGTTAATATCCCTTGTTAAAGTAAGCACTCGAAAATCGAAAAATGTTATACTCACAAAATTAAAATGTAGAATTTCGAATGAAACTGTCTTATAAATTTCTGTAGATATCTAAAAATTTAAAGCAATGCTTGACCACAGATATATTAAACAAGTGGTCAACATTCAGATTGGCTTAGTATATATCCGCACAAGTAGAAAAATTAATTTAAATTACTTGCTGCAAAAGCAAATTTTTTTTTTATAAAAAATGGCTTACATATTATCTAATCTAAGCTCGTGCCATGACTTCAAATATGCATTTTTATCCAAAATTCTTTTTGGTCTGGGTTAGTTGGACACTTTGCTATGAATCTGCGTAATTGCTTTTCCGGAATTCGCTATTCCGTTTTTACTACTTTTGGCCGCTATAGTCCCATTGTGCGTCATGATCCACGCGGCGTCAGCATGTGCTCTAGCAAAGACAATGATTTCATATTCGGAAATGAAAATTTTTTATAACAGATTCTTCGGAACATTTTATAGGCCAAATCTTGCAGAAACATTTTATAGTCTAATGTTGTAAACAAATAAATTTTAAGTAAGTTATTCAACTCAATTTATTTGTTTTTACATTTTGTCATTTTTAATCCAATTTGCAAGCACGATTCCAAGCACATCATAACCTTCAAACAGTGTAGTGCTCATTACGACATAGAGATTAACAAGAACAAATACTTATTAACAAAGTCATTATAATTAATTAAAAAAATAGAGAATGTGACAAATAAATATGCATGCACATGTAAATATGTACATGAATGTATGCATGTACTACACATGCTTAGAAATAGTATCTTGTCAGTGGCACATGTAGGCGGACAATTAGAATGTCATTTTTAATTTTTAAATAAATAAAAACCTACTACATAATTATTGCCCGCTTCTGTATTGATGCGAATTTTCATCTCAAGACTATTTATTTATTGCCTTTTTGTATTCGTTCTTTTTTCCTTTTGTTATGGCTAATTTCACACAAGACAGTTTTAGATTTTTAATTTTAATTTATTAGGCGAGTGCTCGGCTGTCGTGTCTTTTGCGCTGTTGTGCTGACACTTTTCTTCCATTTTTCATCGGATTTCTTGTGAATTTTGCGACACATTCCATTGTGGATGAGCTGAAGAAATATTGGAATTTCACGCTGAACAGCCGCCTCACTCGTAAATATATTGGGCATTTCAAATGCAAATTAACATCAGCGGTTTCTCTTAACGTGCACTTAAGTATATGCAGATTAATCTTAACGGAGCAAATGTACAATGTGTATGCATATTTACGAATTTGAAGGAAATAGTGAACTAAGATTTGATTCGGACCATTATTATGATGAAATGTAATAAAATATTTGCTCTCTATCACAATATTGTCATGCAGTTAGTCCTGCTAATTAAGTTTTATTTCAATAACTTCTTATGTATGAGTTTTAAAAATATTTGTAGTATTCTAAAAGGCTAAAATCCCAAAAATTTATTGAATATTTTTAAACTCTTTAAAGGACTTTTTTTACGACAAATTGTCAAGTGTTCTCTGGGAAGTTTTATTTGACATTTGTTTGTTTACTTTTTCTTATTCGCATTAAGCCTGTTCCCGTACTCCAGGATTTTGACAAATAGTCCAAAGTAGTATTAAATGGGAACAAGTATAGAATATCAAACGTTTATCTATAAAAAAAAAACGGAAATTAAAATGAGGATCGATAGAACTTTGCACACTGATATCAACCATACCTAAATTGCTTGGCGCAAATAAAAAATAAAGCCAATAAAAGAGGTTAAAGTTCGACTTTTATATTTTTGATATGTATAATATCCCGGAGACTAGTTGACCGCCTAGAAAAGCATTGATGCTTATTTAAAGATACTTTAAATACCTTTTATATAACGCATATAATATAACCATTAAAAAAAATATATATATCTATTTATATATTTTTTTTTGTTTTTTAGTATTTCCGGCTTAAGAATATAAAATATAATATAAATTATTTTCACAAGGCGAGAGACAAATTAACTGCCTTTATTTTGACAACATTAGCTCTTTAATATGTAGGTTATGTGGTTCAGAAGATATTAATATTAAAAAAAAACACAAGTTTTAACTTTAATCTTTTATAACTTCTTTATCTTTTACTTGCGCCAAATAATTAGTAAATGGTTGAGATCACAGTAAAAAGTTGTATCGATCCATATTTTGGTTTTACCTAGCTAAGCGTTTGGTATTATAGACTGTACAGAATGACTTCGGACTATTTCTGATTTAATCCTGATTGTCAGAATTCCTCAGTGCGGCCAAAATTTTTGCACTGTGTTGCACAGTGAAATGAAAATATGGATGAACAATTTATATCTTATGTATATTCATGCCTATTACGGTATCCGACGGATGCCATCCGCACGGATCTAACCCGATTCACACTGTCATAACAAGCGAATGAGAAGGATTAGATTCATGAGAATGGGATCCCTCGGAAACAGAGCTTTTCCGGTCCGACAGATACCTTTCGCACGAATCTAATCCTTCGCACTCGCTTATTCCGACAGTGCTAATCTGATTAGATCCGTGCGGATGGCATCCGTCGGATACCGTAATAGGCATGATTACTTGATTTTTATGACGATGGGAAACATTCCTAATCAAAAAGAAAATCCGAATGGCGTAAGTTGCAAGTTTTTACTAGTTTTGCGTTCAATAGCTTTTTATGGAAATTTTCTCTTCGCTGTGAGTACCTACTGAAAAAGTTATTGAATGGATCTATTGTATGTACTATAAGTACTGCAGTAGTCATAGCGGCTTCAACTCGCATATTATTTTCATTTGTCTGATGATGATGATTGTGAACTATGCATTATTCCAAGAATAAGAGAAAAGTGGAAATTTTTAAATTTATGGCGCTTGCACAGTTGCGTGAACAGTAAAAAATTTTTAAATGCTTTGTTTGTTTGAAAACAAACCAACTAACAAGAAATGCCAAATAGAAATAAATTAATACAAAAAGAAACATAAACTGTCGCCAAGGGCCATTTAAGATATCCACCTAAGATTTAGTAGAAGTTGCCTTAGATGCCAACGCATATATACATAATTGTATAAAGTTTCATACTATCCACTTAGTAGTTGTTGTAGGCTAATAAGCAAAAAATTTTCAATGACGCGTAAATTTAATAGCATTGTGTTTTTTGAAAAATTATATGGTACATTTGTAAAATTTTGATGTTGATATATTAATTAACTAAAGGAAATTTTTCCGAAATAAAATTCAAATGGTAGGAAAGTGCCTAATTCGAATAGATGTAATTCTTTGCTGTGGACATGAATATCGTGTGGGCCTTTTTTATGATTTAAAATTTAAATTATGACTTTCTCTTTGAGTTCAAAAATAGGTATGACAATAATGATGCTGTAACAAGTATACATACATGTATCGGTAGAAAAGCTTCAAGTAAAAAAAACTAAACTTCGAGAAAATTTTGGACAAGTTCTCAGTTAGGTACTTTTCCTTAAACAAAAATAACTAATAAGTAGAAAATCAATAAATACAATCGTAAACTTTATGTAGGTCCATAGCTAGAAAAAGTTTGCGCTGCTCACAGATGGCTCATTGAATGAGGGGAGTACCGAGAGAGGTGTGTTTGGACCGTGGACTTTAGTATCAAGCTAAATTATCTGAATCAGAACATAGGCGCTCTTGACTGATAGCCAGGCGGCTATTAGGACCTCAGATTTCATAAGGTGAAAGCTAAACTGGTGTTGAAGTGCTTGATAAGCTATCGAGACCCCGTAAACTCGCCAGTGGGTAACGCTTCTGTCTTTGCACATCGATTACGCAGGTTCGATCCCTGCTGAAGTCTAGAAAAAAGAAGTCTGATGAGGAGATGTGGTTATCTCCGAAATAGATGCTATTACTTCTACCGCTTAGACTTTGAGGCGTTTTCCGTTTTTCCTAATAAAAATAATCGTGGTACAAAGCTCAATAACAATATTAAGAATAAAATGTTAATAAGCCACAATAGCGTTGGCAAAAACTATAATATTTGAGTAATTTGCTTTATGAATAATCAACATTATGAGCAAAATTAGTAATAAAATATTCAAAGTACTCTGTACATATAAAGCAGTAGAGGTGCATTGATATTTTGAAAACAAGGGTTTTGTTTTCAAAAATAAAATAAAATATTTTTTCATATACATATTTTGAAAAAGAAGTTAAACGTTTTCCAAAGAAACTCTTTTACCGAGCAAAATTCATTTTTTTGGTAATAATATTTTAAGTAACGCGATTAATTATCGTTTTGAGCAATCAAATTCTTGATTACCCGAGTAATTGAATAACCGAACAACTGATTAATCAAACTGCTCGAGTAATCGAATAATCGCCAAGCCTTAATTTCTACATTATTTGTGGCATGCATTTTGAAAGAGAAAATGGAAAAATAGACTGCAAAAAACGTGAAAAATGCGGTGATAATTCGCTTTATCATATTAAATAGCTTTTATGTATATTTAGATTACATATACACACGTATGCACATATACCAGCAAATATTTACTTAATCATAAATAATATATTCATTAGCTTTGTGCATTGTACGCCATTCAACTACCTCAAGTAGCCAAATTGGTATAGATAATAAACCGCAGAGTGGAATATTTATTATTCACCCAATTTCAGGAGTTAAACGACAAACGGAGACATGAGTAACAGCGCGCTTCCCTACCCATTTGAAACATCTCCCTGCCCTGACCGACCGACCATCAGTGGCGTAACCCTTACTAGTTGCACCTTTTTCAATACTTTATTATTGTAGTTAGTTTGACTTTTGTTGTTGATGTTGTTTCAGCGCCTGGTTATTATAATCACATAAAATAAAGAGCATAGTCATCCGAAATTTTAATGGCCAACATAAATTGTAATATTAAATCGAGCTGTCATGACGAGTCGAGTTGTGGGAAAGAAGGGCGGGGATCAGACGTTGTATGTTGATACCTCTTGGACTCGTTCAGAAAAATGACTTTTGTTGTCGTATAACCACATACATATGCCTTGTTTTGCTGTATTTACCTGCAGTGTCTGTAAATTTTGTTAAAGACAAAGCGCCAGTGTCGCTGGTATCACCAAAAAGGTGCTGGAGTTTAGCAGCTGTATAGGTATGAGTTTGCTGCATCAGCGCGCTACTGCTTCTTCACTCATTGTTGTTCATTCTGCGACGCTATATTTTTTGATGTAGTTTGTCGACGCATTATTGGGCCTTTTGATCTTTTTCGTTGCAAAAATTATAACTTTTGAACTAATGCATTTTAAGAATTGAAATTGTATCTGAAAGTAAAATATCTAAGATTTAAAATAAATTGGATGCAACAACAATAGGACACTTTAAAACTCATTGTCAAAGAAAATTTTAATTAAGTCAAAAACCCAAAATTTGGATGTATCTCAAAAATTGTTATACCCCCTTACATTTTGATTGCGTAATCGGATTCAACGGAAAATTTATCATTAGAGCACATATTAAAATATCGCGGTCGGACAATTTTTTAATTTCTGGAAGCTTATGTGATACAATTGAAAAACATGGAAAAAATAAAAATTACGCTTTCACAAAGTTTTTGATTTTTACAACCTTTTTGCTGAAGAGGCCCCATAGTATGACGTTTATCAAGCTTTTCCTTTGAATCTATATCGGCTAAATCTTTATGTTGCAGTGTGGCTTTTGTTGTCTTACCAACGCCTTTGTCGGCTCAGTTGAAAGGGAAATGATTACACGTGATAGAAGATTTCGTGTGTGGATGTTGACCGACGCGGAGACGTTTGTAAATTTACCATAATTTTATGTATGTATGAGAGTGTGGACAGGTCGGAAAAATTATGGACAATTATTATAAACTAGTTACGGGGTATTTATTTTATTTAAGCTTTTACCTAATATCTCCAGGAAAATGTATGATGCTTTAGACAGAATAAAATGCTTATTGAGCAGGGAACCGCATCATCGATTTGCTAAGTCAGCAGGGCCAGCCGCTGAGCTAAGCACGCCGAGTAAACTTTTGTGCGTATCCTGTTCCATATACGTTCGCTGAACTTTGGGTAGATTTCTAGCAAAAATTCAGCATTAAAAATGGCACTTTCGTCGTCTCCTGCAGCCCACTTCACTTCTTAACGCCCTGTCAAAATCGGATTTTCCAACTGCTCAGCGTTGACGCCGCGTTATTTCGGACAACGCTGACACGTTTGTTTAGGTATGGAAGTTACAGTTTCGAAATTGTAATTGTCAACAGTAACGTATGTCTCATCACGCAAAGAAACTTATAGCTCAGTTATGTATACTTTGCACTGCTACACCATTTTTACATAAAAATCAAAACCCAACAGACTTCTACGTGTGAAGTGCTATGCGTTGGGTAACCGCTTACACGCAAAGTTCATTTAACAGATTCCTTATATGACAACTGTCATGCAACGCTAGCTATGCATAACTGAGCTATTAGAGTGAAGACAGAATGTTATTTGTCTAGTTCTCTTTCACATTTATACTTAGCTCGTTTACGTCCATCTCTAAGTTGCTCTTGTTTGGTCTCATATGGCGAGGAGGGGTCATTGCCAATATATCAGTAGCTGAAAGTTGTGCCCAACGTCACTCTACAAGTTTATACATGGAATCGCTCAGGCAACTTATCTTCGTGCTATCAAAAGGGGCTTAGACAAAAATGTGGCAGGCGGAAATTTGTTATTTGGTTCATAAAGGCCTCAAAATTGCACCCAAAGCCAAAAAATTCTCATTCCGCGGAAATTGTCACATACACCGAGATCTCCCTCTGGTGGACCACCCCTTCTGTAGCTATACGAAGTGAGTTAAATTTATCGGGTGTCCGTCGAACTTTTGTTGCACTGCCTGGAGCACGTTCTATATTTCACAGAGGCTCTTGTGGTTCATGGGACATCCGAGCGGCTTTGTGTGTGTTTCAATACTGATGCCAGGTACCATGTTATCGATAAATCTTTCTCCGCTATCGGAGGTATACTAATAATGGGTGGAGTTTACCACAACAAATATGTATTATTTGTCCACCCTGACTTTAAAGTCGTCAAGCACAATTTTAACATTGCTCATATGTTTCCTGTCGGCACCCGTGGAAGTGTTATTTTGTCTTATGGCCCTTCTCCTCCATCGGGGCCTACGCATGAAGGGGACCGATGATGTTGAAGTTTACTTTGATAGGTTTCGGGGTAATTTGTTCTCTGGTGGGAGTGAACCTGGAGATGAGGCGTCAGAGTCTTCTTCCAACCACAAATCCAAAACCAAGTTTGTGCGTCGTCTCATGACATCTATAATAAACTTTAGACGCAGCATATTTAACGCAGCCGAGTCCCGTCCATCGCATCACCTGTATTGCGGTCATGCTAGCCTTTTATTGGACGAGGAGGTCTTGCAATTGGATCGAGCACTTTCCTTATAAATGGCTCGGGCATTCCTGGTGCATGTTCGTAAATCGTAGTCCTTATTTCGTAAGCGGCGGTCGTCAAGGTTGGGAGGTATATTGTTTCGATGCATTTTTTTTCTCTTCACTGGATCTCTTTTTTTACAAGGCGGGTCAGCATCTTGCATATAGATTGTTCATGTTGCCTGGAGTGCGCCAACGGGGATGCAAGAGTCGAGATTTAAAACGGTCATGCAGCTGTAATTGTAAACCCATGGAAATTGCAAAGTTCTCTCTGCGTACTACCACTTCGTATTACCTTGGTTCGATCACTTGTCCGAGGAACTTTATCGCACTTTATTGAAACTCTTTTTTCTAACCGCGGTCGCCCCTCGGCAGGCGAGTGTATGTCTGCTCTAAAAAACTTCTAATAAAAAAATTTGCCGTTCGGAGGCGTCATAAATTGTAGGTCCTTTCATTCGTGTTGTAACATCAGAACCAATTGGAGACGAAGCTCGGCCAAACACTTGGCAAAAGTGGTGCCGTTGGTACCATGTCATAACCCCAAGTGGCATAACCCAGTTTAAAAGTTTGGAATTATATTACTCCTTATAAGTGAAAAAAAGTCAATTTTTTAACTTGGGGTTATATCACCTCTTATAAAATGCCACAACCCCAATTATGATAATGAAATTTTTGAGACTATTTTTTGCTGCTCTCAAGAAAAACAAAAGAAAAATTATATAAAATCTCGCTCAAGAAATGAAAATGGTATGAGCTATAGGGTTTAAACAATTGACGAAAAAATTGTTCTTTGAGATTTTACCTACATATACATATATAGTCTCTCTAAATATCTCCACCTGACATTTCTGTATTAACATCTCTTATGTATGTCAAACTTATACAGGTCGCAAATGCACTTAGTGATTTGACAGTGCCAGAGTGCAGGCATTTTGACTTCTAGGCAGTTTGTGATGTGTAATTATCATTTTTGTACGCTATCAAATGCTTTGAGGTATCTGGCCACTAGAGGTTTACGCTGACAGGCTTTGCGGAGGCGGCGTGGTCAACTTCAAAAAAGAATCGGCGGCGGCGACGACGCCGGCGCGTCTGGAATCGCCGGCGCTACTGCCCATTAAGTAGATTCCAAAGAGCCATGAGGCTTCTAATCTTATCATGTCATCAGATTATAATTCTATTTAATTCATTCATTGAATTCAAATGTTGAGTGACTGCTGCTGATGCATGTCATCAGATTATAATTCTATTTAATTCATTCATTGAATTCAAATGTTGAGTGACTGCTGCTGATGGATGGGCGAACAGAAGAAAGTCTATATAGTATATACATTAGGTTTCCCATCGAAAATGCTTTTTTTTTGAAAATTTAAAGACCCTACCCCCTAATTTCATTCGTTTTTATGAGAAATATTATTGCCTATTTTTATAGATTTTTTAAAGGCCATTTAGAGAGGCCTGTCAATTTAGGAAATACGATTTTCTAGATTCATGAGTTTTTGAATGACTATTTTTGCTTGAATTTCAAAGAATTTTGTAAATTTTAGCCATCGATAATTTCTATAATTTGAAAATATTTAGTACTAACGTACAAAAAAACGATTTTCGATGGGCACCCTAATGTACATACATCTCTATGTACTCTACAAATCCGTACGTAGGCTAAGTTATTGGGGTAATTTATGTCGCTATCAATAAATTTTTGCAATACGCTTATCAACCGTCATGTTAAATTAAGGAGTTCTTACGATATTTTGCGTGTTATATTGAAAATAAGGTTGGCCTACTTTTTTCCAAAAGTTTAACCCATCAACTCCCATCAGAACGGGCCTTTTTGACCCACTGTTTGAAAAATGGCTTATAAATAGTAAAAATTTCCACTTATATATTAAGCGCCAAATTTTTCTAAGGAGAACAGAATGTAATGCAAAATAATAGTAATTTTTACCAAAAAGGGGGACTTTAACTCTGTGTAGAAAATATTGCGATGCGCGGGAGCAAAACCTTCGTGGGGTTTGACCACTACTTAGGAATGCTAAAGTAATTTTCACACAGCCACCTAGTTCTTGTAACGTCTGTGGGACCCCAGAATAAAGTAACTTACGAATGTAAAAATTAGCAAAAAAAAGTGTTGGCTTTTTATTAAAATTCTGTTTAAAATATTTAAAAAAACATACAGGACAATCAACTAGTCTTTGTTTTATCTCCAATAATTGAGGAGTTGGATGCAATAAGGGCGCTTCTGGTAAAACTGCTTTCTGAGATATTGGCGTTAAAGTTTTTGATGTGTATAACTTTCTTGTTGATGTAGTATATAAAAAAGTAGTATTGTTGTAGTATTGAAACAAATTTTCTACTGCGGAAAAAATCGTCAGATTACCAGTAGTATTCGACCCTTAATTAACTGTAATAAACGCTTTCGATCGAAAGGGTGTTACCTATGTTTTTTTCTGAGTTACGCTTTTTCGTGAAATGTTCAGTAGCCCAAATTATGCAAAAAAACTTCTTTTAAAAATGTAATTTTCATTTCGTAAAATAGTGTTTTTATACGAGTAGTATTTAGTTCCTTCAAACGATGTATATCCATGTGCATACAACAGGAAAATTTTGCACAAAATTTCTTAGGCGCCGAACGCCGCCGCCGCCGCCGCGCCGATATTTTCGTAACTCGGCGGCGGCGGCGTACACCTCTACTGGCCACGCTTACCAAACACATAATATTTATACACATTCCTCCAGGGTATACCATATCAAAGCTCTAAAGCTATTCCATTACGCACATAAACATTAAAAGCCCATCAGCCAAAAATCAATCTTAAAGCCATTTCCGTTCCACATTCACATGATAAAGTACCAGTAAAAACATAAACAATATAAATTTATTACTTTGCTGTCTGCGGCACAATAATTCATTTCTTAGTTATGGCAGAGAAACCCACACTTTCATACCAACAAATCAACTTAACGAAAGGTCAGCAGGCGAACAGAAGTTTCTCATTTTTTGCCAATGCTACAGCTGAAGTAGACAGATAGCCAGTGAGATACTCAAACAGAAGTACATTTATGTGTTTATGTATGTACGCATGTATGCTTTTTATGCTTGTATGTTGGCCAACAGCATTTAATCCCTTTATGAACTTATCGACATGGCAAATGATTAATGTCAACAAATTTAGCATCGTTAGCAGTGGCAAAGTCGGCAGATACCAAAATGCTTGACACAAAGCGTTGCAGCAGTAACAGCGGAGGCAGTCGGTGCAGTGACTGGTGAAGATTCTTCACTGAAGAATCGGTATACGAAGAAATAGAAGAAAAAACTGAAAATATGAAAAGGAAAACAATGATAGCGATGACTGTGTTATGACGGCACCGTGGAACAATCATTTATGAGCCTGGAAGACCGAAGCATATTCCCCCAAAAGAAAAATGAAGCTAATCCCCATTATTTTCGAAAAAGACCCCAGATCCTGACCAAGAGTCAGTATTCGATCCATCAGTGAAGATTCGACAATATGCCAGTCCGGGCTCAGTGCTGGAATTAAACCAACATTCAACCTCAGAGAACCCAACATTATAGAATCTCTCCCACAAAGGTAATGGTGGCGTACTATCCTATGGCATTGAAAAGACACAAATGTTCAAGTATCTGCCGCCACCAGTATCCGCCTCGCCCCACTCAATGTTCAATTATTTGGTAAATCAATTATTTATTATTTATACCAGCATTCGTTTCTTTTTAGGCTACAGGTGGTGATGGTAAGTACAGCAGTGCGTCAAGAGGTTTTGCCAGGTTTTGTAGAGGAAGCTCCCGTACAGCACACGGCGATTGTTCTTTGACGTTGAGCATGAAGATTTCCCGCGTTATGCCAAAGACCTGTTTTACATTGCCAAAGTGCCGCAAATTCTTTGGAGGTCTCGTGCTTCACGTAAGATTTCCAATATACTCCTTCAAATGTGAGGGGAATGAGACCATCCGATCATTTCCTTCAAGTGGAGAGCAAAACACTGGTTTTAGCTAGGTTAGCGATGAGCCTATTTCCATTACGCCAGGTGTCAATCATAACCGGTTTTTTCTGCGCTGAAAGATGTCGGCACAGCTCCGCCCGTAATATAAACACCTGAGAATTAGGTTATCCTAATTTCCGCAAACCCCATTTTAGAATGACTTGCAACGAAATGCCATTTTCCAGCTCTTTCTGAGTATGAACGAGATATATTTTGTGTCCTTGTAGCATTAACTTTAGTGAAACTTTCGGGAACTAAACAATCGTTTAGCTAAATTATTTTTTTGGGTACTTATGATTTCAAAATATAATCGAGTACGTATTCCCTAGAGAGCAACCTCCGACGAATGACAGTTAACAATCAATGAACCAAAGTACATATTTAGTTTTAAATCTATAGTTACATTCAAGCAAATGTAGGATATGTATGAAAGAAAGGGCGTGCTAGGTAAAGTAATCAAATCGGTTATTTACATAAATAACTATAACTTCTTGTTTCTCTAAACATTTAATCATCAAGAAATCGCAGAAAGGAAATTTAAACGCCATTCCATCTTGCTTTTCCTGAATCTTTCGATATTTCATTTATGCAACACATTCTGTCTACCTTTTTTGTTTTTTTCTGCTACCGTTTTGCACTTCTTCGTTTTCCTTGGCATCAGCAAGGTAAACGGGCGAACCGACGATGACATCTTTTATCCAAAGATTAATGTCTGTCCTCATTTCCTATTGTCTTTGTGGGTTATTTATTATGGCCACGTTAAGCATAAGTTATGAGTTATGCCATCGCATATAGACGAAGACAAACAACTTTGGCCTCTGACTGTCTACTCCGCCATCACCTACCGAATTGTACGTAAATAAATAAGTATATATGTGTTTGTTGCCTTCATGTATGTACAGTGACTCAAGAAAGTGTCCACTTGTTGATTTTTTTAATATTCTCAATATTTTTCAAGCAAAAATTCAGATGTTATTATTTTATTGCTTTAGATCAAAGTTTCATACTTTAGAAAATTCATTTGAATTTGTAGAAAGCTTTTCTGTATGCAGTTTTATTGCATAGAATTTTTGTATAACAAAATGTACGCTTCAAGCGGCTAAAAAATCGAGTTTATTTGAAATATTTATTTACATTTTTTTTATTGCGGCTTTTTTACACTTTTTTCCATAAAATCATGAATTTCTTATGAAATGCAGAAGACAGTTCGCAAGCAAAGTTAAAAAATCAACGCCAGCTTTTATAAATTGCAGTTGTTGTATGAAAAAAACCCAAAATACCGCCGGCGAAAAAAAATTATTTGAAATCGACTCGAATTATTAGCTGCTTGACACTTGCACTTTGGTCTTGGCTAGTACATGGAGAATGTTTTTATTGAACACTTGTTTGAGTAACTGTTACATATCAACTGGTGAGCTCAAATCAAAACATTTAACCTTTTACCAGCCGTTGTGAGTTTCAGACTAGAGCTGTAAAACTATCGATGATACTATCGATACTATCGAATGGGTCTATTTTTTTGCACTATCGAATGGTCGTTGCCCACTATCGATAGTCTTTCTTTGGGGGGGGTTTGCGGAAAAATTTTCCCCTTATTCTAATTCGAAATTGTATTTCTTCCAATTGTCAAAAACTTTTTATTTGTCACGGGGAAAATACCGTAAAAATTATTTGTGTCGTGCGAATATCTATAGAAATTATCAGGGTTTGAAAAACTGTTAGCACAGCGACAACAGCCAAGGATTTGCTTTTTATAAATTGTTGCTTTGCTAGCCGGCAATTACAAGTACCTGATGAAGATCTTGCAGAAGCAATGAGCTTAGACGACGACGCTTTAAAGGAATTTGAAGAAATGCGACAAGATGCAGAAAAAACTTTAATTTGCTTTTCGAATACGTAGAAGAAGTGTGCACCAACCTAGGTACAGAAATCAAAGTACCGCGATACAGCAGTCGCCAAAAGAATCGCTTTAATGTGAAAACCGGAGACGCCGAGGCATACTATCGCATTGCTTTTTACATTCCCTTCCTTGATACATATATTGCTCATTTGAAAAGCCGGTTCCTAAACCCTAAATCAGTTTTAAATAATTTTAGTGTTTTGTTTCCAAAGTATGTTTTTAACGAAAAAAACTGAAGAATTGTTTGCTTTCTATGAAAAAGTAATCGACTGCTCGAAACAAAACTTTCTTGTGGAGGTAAAAATGTGGAAAAAACGAGTTTCACACGAACATTTTCGAAATGCTCTCGAAGCATTACAAGTAGCTAATACAACGTCTTTTGGGAGTGTTTTTAAGATCTTACGTATATTGGCACTTTTGCCCGTTTGAATAGCCACACCTGAACGAAGCTTTTCATGGCTGAAAATAATGAAAACCTACTTGAGAAATACAACATGTCAAGAAAGACTCAACATTCTAGCATCTATGAATATTCACAGTTGATATAAAATTTTCAGTTGACGAAGTTCTAGAAGAATTTTTAAAAAAACTACGAAAAATTTGAAAATTCTTCGTTTCGTTGATTTATAAGTAAAACGAAAATTTTAATGTGTTTAAAATTATCAAAATGTTTTAATTATGTTAAATGTTTTGTTTGTAAAATTGAATATATGATTTTAAAAATTCGTGTTTGAAACTTTATTACGCACACTTTCTTCTAAAG